ACCGGGGGCTTTCCTACGGGTGGGGCTCTCCGGAGGCGGAGGGATCAAGGTCGCGGTAAACAACAAGATGGCGCCAGGACCCCCGCAGTGAGTCTGCCCGCCTGCCTGCTGTGTGACACCTCACCTGATTGGCCGAAGGACGCGTGCCCTTCACGTGAACAGAGACCGGATTGGTGTGCCTGATGCATGGACTCTAGCTTGCTCCTGATTGGTCGCATTTTGTATATAAGCCGCGGGTGTAAGGAGGACGCTCTCTCTCTCTCCTCTCCTTTCCTCCTTCCTCTTTACCTCTGTCACGTTTACTTTCTCTAATAAAAAGTCGACTAAAGACCAATAAATGTCGTTCGTTCTTTTCTTGCCCGAGAAAACGTCGTCGTGGGCCCTGGGTTGAGTCTGCTGGCCAGACTCCCTGAGATGCTCGCGGCAATCAGGGAAATGCAAGTCAAAACTACAATGAGATATCAAAACTTCCTCACCTCTGTCAGAATGGCTAAAGTCCAAAACACAGAGAGTAGCAAATTCTGGCGAGGATGTAGACAAAAGGGAACACTTATCCTCTGTTGGTGCATCCACTGCGGAAAACAGTGTGATTATTTCTTAAAAAGCTAGAAATAGATTTGTCACCTCATCCAGCAATCCCACTACTGGGTGTATAGCCAAAAGACTTGAACACAATGTATCAAAGAATAACCTGCACCACCATGTTTATAGTAGCTCTTTTCACAATAGCCAAAATTTGGAATCAACCAAGGTATCCATTATGTCAGATGAATAAAGAAAATGTGATATACACACATATATAAAATGAATAAAATTCTATTATATGTATAATATATATATATAATTTTTTATTCAAATTTTATTCAATTATAAAATAGAATGAAATTTTACCATTTGCAGCAAAACAGTGAATGGGATTTTTCTATTTTGACAGGTAGAGTTAGACAGGAAAGAGACAGAGACAGAGACAGAGAGAGAGAGAGAGAGAGAGAGAAAGGCCTTCCTTTTTCCGTTGGTTCACCCCACAAATGGCTGCTATGGCTGGCGCGCTGCACCAATCCGAAGCCAGAAGTCAGGTGCTTCCTCCTGGTCTCCCATGCGGGTGCAGGGCCCAAGCACTTCACCCATCCTCCACTGCCTTCCTGGGACACAGTAGAGAGCTGGCCTGGAAGAGGAGCAACCAGGACAGAATCCAGCGCCCCAACCGGGACTAGAACCTGGGGTGCTGGCGCTGCAGGTGGAGGATTAGCCTAGTGAGCCGCGGCGCCGGCCTCTATTTTTCTTTCTCAACATATGTGTAACCCCTGTCTCCAGCAACAAGAAACTTGACTATGATCTGTACTTCTCCCGGCAGTCCTCATCCACGCCCCAGAGCTCCCGCCATCTCCACGGGGTCCTCCTCAGGGTGCCCTGGCTGCTGTGAAAGCTCTGACACCCCGCATCAGGCCGTCTGACACCCTACTCTGCCCTGTCTGGTGTGCGCCCCGCCATTGGCTGGCTGCCTGATGCAGCAGCTCCCTCTTCACTCTGCTTGTGCTGGGACATCTGTGTCGAGTCCCTGCTTTCATTCAGCCACGTGCGCCCCAACCGTTACCCTACTCGGTGACTCGAAGCTCCCCATCAGGCAACCCATATCCTATTCCCACTTTAGATGCTCTTCTCATGGAGGCTGAGCTCTGCCAACCCATTGTGGACCACTGCAGGCCCCCTCCCTCCACCTGCTGGCACAGATGCCACATTTCTTGGCTCTGCTTAATGGCTTTTTGGATAGAATCAGGAAACCTAGAAATGAAGGAAAAGGAAAGAAAAGCAATGGAAGAAAGTGAGGTGCACTGTGAAGAGGAGGAAGCACTACTCTATTACTCTACCATCAATTTAAGAAGAACAAATGAAAAAAATCATAACATTCCACTAACTGAGAGGCCTCCTTTATCCACTGAAGGTGGTCACATGGAGTATATCTGTGGATTTAGATATAGAAGCACATGTACACACATAGTAGGATGCACAATAAGATTGTGTAAATCAAGAGTAAGAGCAGTGGCCAGTACCACTCCCTTTCTAGCACACAGTAGGATTATAGTCTCCCTAACTCCCTTGAAGTTAGGCACAGTTTACATTAAAATAAAATGTGAAGTGGGTATTTAGCTAAGTGGTTAATTTCCTACACACTGCATTAGAGTACCTAGGGTCTTTCCAGCTCTAGCTCATAACTTCAGCTTCCTGCCAGCGAAGACCTTGAGAGGCAGTGGTGATGGTGAAGTAATTGGGTTCCTGTCACTCACATGGGAGTCGTGGTTTGGCTGGCTCCCAGCTTAGGTCTAGCTGGTATAGGCCACTGTGGGGATGGGGTGTGAACAACATCCTCCTCCTCTCTCTCTCTCTATCCCTCCCCTTCTCCCCCTCCTCCCTCCCTAATAAAAAACTAAAACAGTAAAATGTGAAAAATGACATAAATCACTTCTAGATATCAACATTTAATTGCTGATGCTTTAAATCAACAGACAAGACTCTGTAAGTGATCTTCTTCCCCTGGCCTGGTGACCATGGAAATGCACCTGCACATTGGGGTGCAGTGCTGAGACAGCTCAGGGAGGTCCCTGAAAACAGTGGCTGAAGTCCCAGGAGGAAGAAATAAAAATTTTCTTTTAAGCATCTGAACTTCTGGACCATGTGTTACTACAGCACAGCCTCATCTATCCTTACTAATTTCGAGAAGTTATAAAGTATTCATTATAACATTTAATGGTGATATTCTGACAAAGATAAAAGAAAGTACAGATTGTAGCATTTATTTTCTAAAAGCAGATACACTTTGAACAGGGGTTTTTCTCCTAAGTTATTTCATCAGAAAATTGTATAATTTCATTAAACACAACATATATCATTTTCCCATATGGTATTGTCCTTCAAAATAATCAAAGGACTTTCTGATCCATAGAAAATAAAGAATATTTATGATACATGTAGAGAATTAATTTTTGAGGTGAAACAGAAATGCCTATTTTGTGGGAATTATGAAGTATTCCCTAATTGACATGGAAGCATTTTAAGAGACATAGTTCCTAAATCATTTAACAAATAACCCAGAATTATGAAAGACTTACTTTGAGTAAGAGAAATTGTGTTTCAATGTCCCACAAATAATACATTTTATTAATACACTTTAAATTAATATTCAATTAATACATTTTAAAGGATAAATTCTTCATTAAGTGCTTCATGCACCAGTTTACATAAATGTTATTAACTGATACAAATTGCAGCATATTCCCAACTGACGAAGTTTTCTCTATGGTTTCCATTAAATTATGTTTTGAATTTATGCCTCTATGATTTATTACATAAACATCTATAATTTCCAGCACCACTTGCTTATGATGCAACTACTAGACCTAATTAAGAATGATCGAAGTCCCACCCTCTCAAACTATGTGGATGATCCACAGCAAAGAGCAATCATAAATTTCTGCCTTTAAAACATTTCATGACCTTTCAGTGTGAAGCGTCTTGTCTATAGGAATAATGATCCGGCGAGTTCTGCAAGCATGGCAGAATCTCTGCCATGTGACTCGGGGCAAGAAGGCACTCATTACTAGTCACGCAGCGACAGTCTGCAGGGTGTAATGGATTTACAGGAAGCAGGGTGACCACAGATCTAATTTTAATGAAGCTCAAGACATGATCTGAGTTGATTGAGTTTGAAGTCTGACTATAATCCATACAAGGTTAGATGTACTGTTCAACAACTTAGGGAATGTAACTGTTTTTAATCTAAAAACGTTTTTCAAGAGACACACTTGTTCTGTAGCAAACAGTTAAGTTTATATTAAGGTGATAGGAAAATGTTTTTGGAAGCTATAAAGAAAACTCTCCATTTTGCAACAGGTTGACTTTCCATATCTGTAAAATTTTTTCTTTCACATAACAATCATGTGTTAAGCCCAAGGTAGTCACACGTTGGCAATGGAATTACATGCACAGATAACAAGTTTTCCTAAATAAAAATACTCTCAGTTGCTATCACTAAAATGTTTCATAGGCAGAAAAACATAATAAAGGTATACACAAAACTCTCAATCTTATTTGCAGACATATATAAATGCGTTCTCATTACAAAGAGAAATCATTATTCATCAGTGCTAACTGTGAATGAAGACAAATCATCTAGCTTGATAGTATTTAAATAACATACCCCTAGATTCTTGAGAAAGAACATGCCTTAATGTGAAAGGGCTGATTTACTTCTTTGCCTGCTTCAGTCCTGTGTTATTTTCCAGAATGACAAGATTAAGTATGACACTATATCATCCAGCCACACACAGGCCAAACTTGCATTTGGATATCAGCTTGAAAAGCAATTACCAAGAGCCTTGTATTTCCTGACAATAAAGCTTGCAAGCGAGCTATGAATATGTGACAAACATGCCTTACTCACCCAATGGGGTGAAGCGATTTAGGAGCGATGTATTTTAAAGAAGAACACTATCTACATATGAGACTTTGGATCTCCGAGCCCATGTCCACAGACTTGAATGGTAGAAGATTCGTGTCATTTTCAGTTAAGCAATATCCATAATGGTGTTGATTTTAAATAAATTTTATTCTTGGATATGGATAACTATTTATAAGAAGGTAGAGTGTGATTTCAAAGGAAAAACTTACTACTGAAACAGTAAAAAACCAATAAAACAACTGGTATTTTGGAAGTCATATTCACACTTTTTCTCAGATATAATGCTTTGGAATAGAAAGAACCTGAATTATTAGAAAGGAAGGAAAAAAGCAAAATAAGTTCACTTTTAAAAATCCTTACTCCTTTATTAAAGATCTACTTTCAAGATAAATACTGGGAACCAGAAGTCAACAGTTGTAAATCTCCTTGGGTTGCTGGATTCCTGGTAGTTGATTTTCATAGAACATCACCACCCAGGCTATAGAAAGAGGATGACATCAACTTCAGGCAGGAACCCGAGTCCCCTCTGAAGCTGTTGACTTACCTTCTTCACCCTCGTAGGCGAGAATGGACCGCGCTCGTATCTGTTTCCCTTCTGTGGTTTTCCCTGAGCAGGTGTGTGAGCAGGAGGACCACGGAGACCAGGTGCTGAGCACACAGTCCTTTGGGCATGGGGCATCGCAGGCCACAGGGATGGGGAAGATTGCGTCTCTGCACAACTGTCTGTCCACTTCTTCTCCTGCGAAGACATGATCACCAATAGTCTTTCACTGTCAAACCCATGTAAAATGCACAGTTGAAACCAGATGGACACATACAGATAAATTAGTTCTTAGTTTAAAAAAAGTCAAAGGCTTTTATAGTTATAGTCAAATGTTATAGTCAAATGTTATAATCAAATGTTATAGTCAAATGCTACAAGAACACCAGAAACAGGGGTCGGCGCTGTGGCTCAGTGGGTTAACTCCCTGGCCCGAAGCCGGCATCCCATATGGACACCGGTTTGAGACCTGGCTGCTCCACTTCCAATTCAGCTCTCTGCTGTGGCCTGGGAAAGCAGTACAAGATGGCCCAAGTTCTTGGTACCCTGCACCCGCGTGGGAGACCCAGAAAAACTCCTGACTTCTGGCTTCAGATCGATGCAGCTCCAGCCATTGTGGCCAACTGGGAAGTAAACCAGTGGATGGAAGACCCCTTTCTCTCTGCCTCTCCAATCTCTCTGTAACTCTTTTTTTTTTAAAAAAAGGTTTATTTTATTTATTTGAAAGAACACCAGAAACAACTATATAACACACCTACACAGACACAAAGATGAGGTCACTTTTATTATCAGAAATATAAATATGTAGCTCAAGCACATTCCTTAGTATTTGCGTGCTACTGATACCTGCTCACTAAATGATTTTTACCCTTATATAATACTACGTGTTCAGTAGGGAACATCAGTGAAATTTGCTCCCCTTTGTGTCTTTTTAACAGAAATAAGCCACACTGAGCAAGTAATAAACAATGACTCCATCCATTGATTACACGATTTTATGAACCAACTCATCAACGTATCTATTTACAAACTCTCTTGTCTCCTAGAGATGTTATTTTTTTGTGCACTTGATGATTTATTCTTTAAGAAATTGTAGTTAGGTGGAAAGAACCAGGAAATGTAAGCTCTAAGACAGCTTTATAAAGCCACAGCTAAGGAAGGTCAACTTGGAAGGACCTGGGAAGGCAGGCAAGGTGAACAAGTAACAGACCTAAGATGATGCCACTTCAGCGCTTCCTCATCAGCAGTTTCCTATTGCTCTTAAGAGAAAGACCAGGTTTCCAAGGCTCACAAGACCTCTCCTTACCTGGCTCTTGCTTTCTCTCTTTTTGCCCTTGAAGATTCGAAGCTTACAAAAATATTGACGCTCATTTAGTATTTGTTGAATTAATGAAATGAGATATAAAAAGAACCAATGAGACAGAAATTCTCGCTGCTGTTATTAAATGTGAATGATAAGCAAAATAAGTTTAAGTAAATGACTGAGAATGTAGGAAAAATGTGAACTCTGTGACTCAGTTGGTTAATATGAAGTGACAATGAATTCAATGGAATACCACGAAGCAATACACAAACAAGTAGAAGTTAATCTGTTATTTTACCACAGAATATGAACTATTTCTTGATAAATACATAAAAAATGTAGGGGCTGGCGCTGCAGTACAGTAGGTTAATCCTCTTCTGGCAGCACCAGCACCCCAAATGCTTAAGCACCTGCACACACGCGGGAGACCTGGAAGAAGCTCCTGGCTTCTGGCTTTGGATTGGTTCAGCTCTGGCCATTGTAGCCATCTAGGGATTGAACCAGTGGAGGGAAGACCTCTCTCTCTGTCTCTCCCTCTCACTGTCTGTAACTCTACCTCTCAAAAAAATAAATAAAATCTATAAAAAAAAAATGTGTGCTTGCATCAGGCGTTTGGGTGAAGAGATGACTAACCATGCCATTCTTTACTGGTACAAGACAATCCAAGCAGGGACGGTTAGAAGCATTATCTATTTTTTTAACTGTATGTAATTATTGTTCTGAGAGAGAGAGAGAGAGAGAGAGAGAAATTGATTCTCAATCTGCTCGTTTACTCCTTGAATATCTGCAATGATCAGCAACAAGCTGTGGTCAAAGAGGGAAACCATGAGCTGAAGCCAGGTCTCCCACATGGATGGCAGGAACCCATTTACTTGAGTTGTCACTGCTGCCTCTGAGAGTCTGCATTATCAGCAAACTGAAGTCCGAAGGCAGGCGTCAAACCCCGGTACACTATGGTATGCAGGATTCTTAACTGCTAGGCCACTCACTCACTCCAAAAGCATCACTTTAATGTATTCTCCTTTATTCACACATTTGAAGACAGACAATCAGAAGTCAACTGGAAATACTCTAATGTGATAGCTAGTGGTTTTCAGGCTTTTAATCATTAAACCAAATCAAACGTCAATTGATGTGTTAATAGCCATTAGCTTGGATGGCCCTAAATTGTTAGACTTCCTCATTAGTAAGGGAGGCTCATTAAAATAATACTTGAGGGGCTGGTCCTGTGGCCTAGGGGTAAAGCCACCACGTGCAGTGCCAGCACTTCATATGGGTGCTGGTTCGAGTCCCAGATGCTCCACTTCTGATCCAGCTCTCTACTATAGCCCGAAAAAGCAGTGGAAGATGGCCCAGATCTTGGCCTCTGCACCGATGTGAGAGACCTAGAAGAAGCTCCCGGCTTCTGGCTTCAGATTGGCCTAGCTTTGGTTGTTGCGGCCAGTTGGGGAGTGAATCAGTGGATGGAAGACCTTTGTCTGTCTGTCTGTCTCTCTATGCCTCTCTGTAACTCTGCTTTTAAATAAATAAATAAATCCTCAAAAATAGTTGAATCAGTGTTACACTGTTCATTTTAATTACTCTGATCTGTGGGATCTCTTTTAAATTCTATTTTTATTGGCTTTGGATTTGGCATATATCCTAACAAAATAGAATGCTAGAGACAGTATACATATACATATATATGCAGATAGGTACAGTAGAAAAAATCATTACAGTAAGAGGGAATATTTTGAAATTTGCATGATTACTCTTTTTACTAGACTTTTGTGCAAGGACGAGCTTGCACATATTTTATTTATCTCATTATTGTCTTTTATTGGACTCTCACTTTTGTTTCCAATATTTTGGGAGAAACAAGAATGTTTAGGGCTATGGCCTGTAGTCAACAAGAATTATGATTTTATATCTTCTCTAGTAATTACCCAATCATTTCTACTGAGAAAACTTTAAGTTATTGTGTAGCAATCGGCAGTTTTCTGGAAGTATGCTTTATTAAAATTAGTTTTCATGGCATAAGTGATGTATTTCTGTTTGTTACAGGGATGTACATGTTTGAAATTCTCTTTAAGTCACTTTTTTATTTCAACTGTGTCCCCTGCTTTATGTTAGCTCTTTTTCATCTTGTTTTGCTTAGCCAGGTGTATTTTCCAGTAGGCACAATCTTTCCTCTCAGAGAGCACATGTCATTCCTCTTCATAGCCAAGAGTACCTCAGACCCACATTCTATGATTCTGCTGATGATCTGAGGATGGTTTCTGCACCCTGCGCGCCTCTGGCAGGACTGGGCTAGCTTTAGCTCAGCTTTCTTGAACATCATTGTCTCACATACCCATTAAAGCATCACGTTCTAGTCACAGGTGTTTTCCCCTTAGGCTCTTGTTGCCTGGAGGCTTTTGCACTTTTCCTGTGTATGAAAACTTCAGGCCTTCACACAGCAAGCACACTGCTTCTCAACATTCAGGTTCAGTTCATTTTGCTCCTCCTATACGGCTTCCGTGGATTGCACACCTTTCACAGTGACCTTATAGCTTTATATTTTAATAAGTACTTAGCTGTTTTAATTGCTTACATGCTTGTTGTCTGATGTCACCACTAGAATAAATGATGGCATTGTCCTTATCTCTTTTGTTGACTACTTGATACTTAGCACCTTGGACAGTATCTAGTGCATAGTAGGCATTAAGTCATTTTTTGGGTAATATACAGATGCATGAGTTAATTTTGAAGCTATTGTGTCATGAAACAGAACGTTGTTCTAGACACACATGGATCAAAGTACTCAATTTCTTAAACTGTCATGTGTTCAAATGCCCCAGGACCTTGGTGAAGTACATTCAGTGGACAGATATCAAATGCATTGCACGAAAATGCAGCATTGCTGATCTGACCCACTGAATCATAATCTGTACTTTAAAAAGATTCTGTGGTGACACATATACACATTGTTCTATAATTTTTCTGTATTGCTCACTGGTTTGATTAGACTAAAGGGGTTGGTGTTGTGGTGCAGTGGGTGAAGCCACTACTTGTGATTCCAGCATCTCACATCAGAGCACTGGCTCAAGTCCTGGCTGCACTGCTTCCAATCTGACTCACTACTGAGGTACTGGGAGGGCAGTGGGAGACGACCCAAGCACTTCTGGCCCTGCCATGCATGTGGGAGACACAGCTGGAGTTCCAGGATCCTAGCTTCAGCCTCGTCCAGCCCTGGCCATTGTGGCCATGTGGGGAATGAATCAGCAGATTCATTATGTGTTTCTTCCTGTTTCTCTTTCACTCTGCCTTTCAAATAAATGAAATAAACCTCAGAAAAAAATGAAACATAAAAAAAGAACCAGACTAGCTCTTGAAAGGGAAGCCACATAAAACAAATTCATCTAGATTTCATGCCTATCATCGTTTGTTTCTCTGTGGACTTCCTTTTATACAACTCTTCATATAGAGCATACATGGCTGGACACATTCATTCCATGAGTAGTTACTGAATGCCCTGCTTCTGTCAGGCACTATGCGGGGAATATTGTATACATGATCTCAGCTAATTCTCACAGTAATCTCCGACACTGTTATCATTGTTTGTTTTTTATTTTGAAGGAAATTTTTTAATTTAAAGGAAATTGAGACAAGTGACAAAGGATCAGAGATTTGAACCCAGTACCAAACAATTGCCCCATCTACAGTTTAACCGGTGTGGTGATAACAGCGCTCCAGATGCCAAGTGACTTAATGACAGAAAGGATGTAGCTCACAAAGAAGTCAAGAAAGGGCACTCACGACTTGTTTGTCAGTGTTGCATGACGCCAGCCACACGCTGCCTCCCATACAAAGAGTATGCACTGTTGACATGTCTAGGGTTCCACATTTTGGCTCAAAGCCACTGAATACTCAGTGA